ATATTGTTGGATTTTGTTTCCTAATCCACTGTGCCAGTCTATTTCTCTTAATTGGTGAATTGAGTCCATTTACATCGATGGTTAGAATTGAGATGTATTGACTTACGGTTGCCATGGTATTTACCTGTGATCCTTTACTCCTTTTTCTCCTGTGTTTAATTGCTTACTTCATTTAGTTGGTTGCTTCTGATCTCATTTGTGGAGTTCTGATCATTTTGGTCCCTCTCTAGAACATCTTTTAGTAGCCAGTGTAAGGTTGGCTTTGTCAGCGCGAAATTCTTTAGCTGTTCTTTGTCATGGAAGTATTTCACTTCTCCGTCAAATTTTAAAGAGAGTTTTGCTGGGTATAGCATGCTGGGCTGGAATTTATTTTCATAGAGGATCTGAAGTACTCTGCTCCATGCTCTTCTTGCCTGCATGGTTTGTGCAGAGAAGTCGGCCGTAATTCTGATGAGTTTTCCTTTGAATGTGATCTGCTTCTTTTCTCTAGCAGCTTTCCGTGGATTATTCTTGTGCTGAATTTCTGAGATCTGGACTATTATATGTCTCGGTGTGTTTTTCATTGGGTTGAGATTCCTTGGCGTTCTGTATGCTTCAGTTACCTGAATGTCAGATTGTTTCCTCATATTTGGAAAGTTTCCTGCTATTACTTCTGCCCATATTTTTAAAATGTCATTTGTATTGACTCCTTCTTTCTCATTCATGCCTATTAGTCTCACATTGTTCATCTTTGCATCATCTTGCTGGTGATGGATTATTCTTTCCTGCATCCTTGTTGTTTTTAAGAGATTCTTTCTTACCTTCTCACTAGCTACACCAGCATCTTCAAAATGTGAAACTCTGTCTTCACATTCACTTAAACAGTTTTGCAAGCTTGTGATTGAGATTTTAATTTTCTCTATATCGCTTTGACTCTGCTTTATGCGATCTATTTCTTTTCTGTATTGCTCATTCAAGGAATTCGTCATTTTTCTAATCTCCTGTTTTTTTTTTGTATCAATTTCTTCTTCAGAAGCAGTTATAAATTCTTTTACTGCAGTGTTTTTTTCAGATTGGGTTTCCTCCCTATGTTTCTGTGGTTCCTTCTTTACTTCAGATGGTATGAGTTCTGAGAGTTCTTTTTTTATTTCCGAAAAGAATTGCGGTCTGATTTCCTCTATATCTTTGTGGTGTTGCTTATTTAGTATTGACGCTATTAATTCATGCATTTGAGCCAAGCTAGTGTCGTCTGTACTTGTTCTGGGTGGGCACTAGGTTTCCTCCTTATGTTTCTGCAATTGATTCTTTAGTGTAGATGCTATTAATTCAGGGATTTCTTTTTTTATTTCCAATCTGGTGTCCTCTATACCTTTCTGAAACAGTTTCCTCATTTCAGAAGACTTTGATTCGTTGCTTTCAGCTGTGTGATTTCCAATTTGTTCTGTGTTAGTGTCCTTTGCACTTGTTACGGGCGGGCTTGGGTTCTGAGGTTGCATTTTGTTCCTTCTCATCATTTTGTGTAGCACTGTCTTCTGACCTTTGGTGTAGATCTTTGTTGTAGTTATAACCTTCGCACGTACTGAAGTTCAGGTGCAGCTTTACAAAGTTTGGACTTAGCCAGCTGCGTCTGGCTTTGGTCTGGCTGCTGTGCTCAGCTCCTTCCTGCTGCTGCCCTTGAGGGTGAACCTGTTGTGCCCCTGTGGCAAGATGTTCTGCTCCTGGATAGCTGGTTGGATCTATCCTCTACACTCTCTGCAGGGATTGCAGCTGCATGGTTACACCCCAGGCTTGTATGCCAGGCCTGAGCTGTGCCTGGACAGGGCAAGGTGGAGTAGGGGGGAGAGGAAGCTGTACCTCACACTCACTCTGTCTGGGCTAGGACTGGGTCTGGGGGTTCCGCGAACGTGGCAGAAATTCCCATTTGGTGGGCAGGGTGGGGGAGGTGCTGCGGAGTGGTGGGGGGTGGCCCAAGGGGGTGGGAGAGGGTCTGGCCCAAGCTGAGCCTGGGTTGGGCCTGGTTCCGCTGGCACAGGGTAGCAGCGAGATGTGAGATACTTAAGACCATTTTCTATTCAGGGAAACAGCCACAGAACTGATTTGTTCTTCTGTTGGGACTCATGGCTAACAGCACTGACTTTTGTCCTTTTCTGGTTTCCCAGGCACCTCTCTCGTCCCCAGCCCATTGCCTACAGATGTGCTGTCCTCCACAGAAGGTAAGTTGAGGTAGATTGTGCATTGTCTCAGGCAGGCAGCATACAGTGCGTGATGCCCAGAAGCAAGGTGTGGACTACAGGGTGCTGTGGGCTCAAGAATCCCAGGGCTTCTTCCAGCCCTGGTTCCCGAGCCTCAGGAGTGTCTGTGCCCGTGGGTGGGGAAGGGTGGAGTGTGATGGAGTGTGGTGGGGCGGGCCTGGGAATGCACATCTCAGAGGCACTCCAGGCAGTGTGAGGCTGCTTCCTGGTGCCACCCTGAGAACTTCCACGACATTCTATGCAGTGTCCCCACCCTCTGAAGCTCTTGGATGACTGGGGTCCTGAGGAGTACAGCATGTGTTTGGGAAACAGGGCTCTTGCCCTGCTCTCTTGAACCTGCTCTGGACACGGTGGTGGACCATAGCACCAAGCAGTGGGACACACTGGCAAGAGCTGGCACAGGCCTGTGGTGGTTGGAGGTTGTGTGAGCATGCCCTTGTCTAGCAAGGCAGGGCACTCTGCTAAATCCCTGGAAGTCCAGGAAATGCTGTGGAATAAGAAGACAAGGTGTACTGGTGCTTCTTAGATATCAGACCTGCTCTAGTGCAAGTCTTATGATGCAGTTTGGATATTCCTAATTCTGTTCTGAAATGCCTGGCAGCAGAAGCGTTGTGGATGTTGAAGTATTTGCACATACGTGGTGGGATATGTTGGAGATTGAACACAAAAATTATTTATCTTTTCTGTGTATTTTATAACACAACTGAAGACGATTTCATACAGCATTTTTAATACACCTGCATTTTGACCGTGACCCTGTCCATGAGGTCAGGTGTGGAATTTTCCATTTGTGGCATTGGCTGGTACTCAAATAATTTTCAAATATTGGAGCATTTCAGATTTCAGATTTTCATAGGTGGGAAGCTCAATATGTGCTATTTTAATTTTCTTTCTTTTTCTGTGTGTGTGTCACTGGGGTTGATCCTCGGGCTTTTATTTTTGGAACTGGGGATTGAACTCAGTCCCTTGCGCTTACCAGGGAAGCACTTATTGCACTGAGCCATCTCCCCGGCCCCATGATCCTAGGACTTTTGCACTAAGCTCCCTCCTCTGCCCTTTTCTATTTTTATTTTGATACAGGGCCTCTTCCTTAAGTTGCTAGGCTGTCCAGGCTGGGCTTGGACTTGTAGTCCGCCAGCCTCAGCCTTCTCCTGCCTCAGCCTCCTCCTACCTCAGCCTCCTCCTGTCTCAGCCTCCTCCTGCCTCAGCCTCTTCCTGCCTTAGCTTCCTCCTACCTCAGCCTCCTACTGTCTCAGCTTCTTCCTGCCTCAGCCTCCTCCTACCTCAGCCTCTTCCTGCCTCAGCCTCCTCCTGCCTCAGCCTCTCAGTGTGATGGGCTGCCAAGTGTGATATAAGTGGCATGAGTTTCATTTAGCAAATGGAAAAATAGCCTTAGAGATTCTGAGTCCCTCTGGTGACAACTGCCAGCCTTGAGTCTACACTGGGCAGCTGACTACAGGACCCCCTGTCCCGTTCTCCGCTTCCCGGGGTGGGGGTGCCCACCTGTGGGGAGAGGGTGCTCCCTTTGTTCACAAAGAGCCCTTCTGATTCCTAGACACATCTGGGAACACCACTGTCTCTCTTCCAAGAAGCTCAAGCCCTCCACGAGGTAATCTTGCCCCCTCTGGAAGTGCTCCCTTTTCTCTGTAGAGGAGCCTGGGGCTGTCACTTTGGGTCCCCACATGGAAAGCTTTAATAGACAAGGTGACATCAGTGTGTGCAGTTCTATATGGGACAGTGAGAAGGGTAGGGAGGCTAAGAGTGTCCTAGGGCTCAGAGGAAGAAGAATCGTCCTTCTCTGCCCACTTCTCACTGTCTCCTCCTCCACAGTTGGCTAGCTCATGGTGGCTCTGGAAGCCTGGGCAGGGGTGAGCAGGGTGCCTGGGCAGAGCTGGGTTTCCACTGAGCCTCTTGCGGTGGGAAGAGGGCAGCAGGGTCTCAGTCAGGGCCTCAGCCATGGGCAGCCCAGGTTGTGGCCTGCAGGGTGCCCAGGGTGCCCTCCCTCACTGCTCTTCCTGTCTCCACCAGGGTCTGCCCAGCAGCACTATGCCAGGGGTAACCTGGTGCGGATGTGCCTGGCTGCTGTGACTCTCATCCTCCTAGCTGGGCTCCTGGCAGAGGCCTGGCATAGCCGGAAGGAAGCCCTGCCGCTCCGAGTCAGAGCCGTGCACCGGCCACTGCCTCCACTACCACACACCCACGGGGCCCTTGGGCACCAGGACAGGGCCCTGCCTGGTGCTCAGAAGCATGGGTGTCGCTGTTAGTGCCCCAGGCATGGTCCAGCCCCCGAGGTAGGCACATGCGGAGGGGCCTAAGGCACCATGAGGGTTGGAAAGGGGGCCTTAAGTGTCTGCTTGGTGGCTTGGTCAAGGACATTGTACCTGTGAGGTGGAAGAGTCCTGGGAGGCCTGGGTCTTGCACACCATGCACCCTACCGGGCCTCTCCTCCGTGACCTCACCAGTCTCCTGCACCCCTCCCCAGCCAGCTTCTTCTGTCCTTTGTGTGGGATCTCCACATCCCCTGCTCACTCTGTCCCCTTGGCTGTCCCCATCCTCAGCCTGTCCCCAGCTGTGGTCTGTTAACTCTCTTCTGTTCTGGGCCAGCTGGCTCCTGGGTGAGCTCAATCTTTCACCAGAATGAAAACCCGCTCAGTGGCCCCTCCCCTGCGGGGGACATTGCACCCTTGGACAATGCTGGGACTTAAATATTCTTCGGGCTTCCCTAGACATAGACTTGTGCTTTGAGGCTGAGATCAAGTGAAGTAAGGGTTTCCCTAGACATAGGCTTGTGCTTTGAGGCTGGGATCAAGTGAAGTAAGGGTTTCCCTAGACATAGGCTTGTGCTT